TCTGATTATGTGTCTGGTCTTCTAACTAGTCGTGAGTTTGTTCTTGTGGTCAGTCTTGTGTCTGATCTTGGCATGGTCTGGTCTTCAATGCTGGTATTTTTTGTGAGTCCTTTAAACTCCATTTCATTGTTTATCCACACTAGGTGGCCTGCTGATAGCTTTTCCCAGGGAGCAGGCAGCTGCTTTCTGCAAAGAGATGGAGAGACTAGGGAAGACGGCTTGGATCATTGGCATTGTTGAAGAGGGAAATCGCACTGCCCGTATCATTGACAAGCCTCGAATCATTGAGGTGCCAAATAAATTCATATAATTTTTCTCATTGAACCCTCGCCTTTTAATTCTCCTGCTGAAATAACATCAACTCCGGATACTTTGGCAGAAATTTGTGACCGTTCACCAGAATAAGGCTGTAAAGTTAATAACATTATTTCATTTCATGGTTTGATGCTTATGACATTCTTTTGTGCTTCAATTATCTACTTTTGATCAGCTCTAAAGACAAGTTCACGCAACGAGCAGTTGCCAAATATTTGCCTGGTACCCAGGATGTATTTTGCACAGGTTACAAGGGAAAAGTGACCTTTGGTGGACGTAATGCCATTGCTTGAACTTGACTTTAGGTCAATTATAAGGTCACCTCCTTCAAGTTTATTCCTGATGATAGAACATGCTGGCCCAAAGGTCAGGTTACTGTGTTATCGACATAGTTTAGGTCCTTTTACATTTTGAATCCACAAATCATTTCACAAGTGAATTTAAAGTGTTTCTTCATAAGTATTGGAACATGTGTTGGTTCTTGTGACAAAACAAAATCAACCTAAATAGTACCATAAGATTAAATTTAACCAAGTCTGATTTTACAGTCGGTTTGAAATAAACGATTATTTCAATTAAGAATTCACTGACACTCCCACCTCATCAATTCACTCTGAACTTCAGCATGATTTATTTGTCTAAAGAGGAGATAAATCAGTGATCTTTTGTAGCACCCACCTGTTAATTTCTTGATCTTACTCTCACACTGTTGGACCTCAATTACTTTAGCAAGTTATTGTTTCATAAACTTTTTTGTCAGTTTTTAGTACATTGCAAGTGAGAACAAACATTAAGAAAGGTTTCATTGTTTCAAAATTTCCTTTTTTTATAAATTGTATGAAAATTTTATAGCCAAACTTTTATGTATAAAGGTGACAATGATGAGCTGATAAGTGAAGCATTACTTGCAACAAATTGTTTGCACTTGCAGTTTTTGTAAGGAAAATTTCATTTGCGGTTATTCTTCATAAAATGGTTATAAATGTTGGCATCTGTCAAATGATTGAAACTGTGTTCATACTTCATAGGTGCACTTGAAATTAGTGGCGCTTTTATGTTTTGATTAAATAATATAATGTGCATCTGCATGTACTCTGAAGTTCATAGGATGGTCATTCTTCATTAGCTAAACATGAGGTCACAGCTTTAGGTGGCTGCAATGCCTTTAACCAAACTGATTTTGCTCAAATCGAAACAGGAAACTAATGCTAAAAAGTTAAAGAAATCAAGCTTATGAACCAACAGTAGTGAAAACACACCCTGATTGTAAAAATTTCACCCAGTCCAACCTGCCTGGGGCAATTTCCTCCCGAAGGATTGAGCAGCTTCTGGGTGGTAATTGTTCCCAGATACCTAGTTTGGAATAAGTTTGTAACACAGGTTACCCTCCTCTGTAGGTGCTCTCCATGAAACCTAGCCAGGAACCCATAGTACTGTACTCTGGACTGGGTAGGTGGAAAGACTTTGATGAGTCGAACACTGATGGATTTGTGGTATTGAAGTTGCAATTGGATGAATTTGTTTAATCAGGGTGTTTTTTCTGTATTCATTTGTTTGATTTGGCAATAGAAAAATAAAGCTTTATCTTAACATGGTGAAGAAAAAAAATTTGTTTGAATTCAGTGTTTTGAAAGTAGATGTGGTTTGGAAGGCACAACTTTCTCTCTGTTGCCTATTACCCCTGAATCCTTAAAGTTCCAGACCCCAAATTATTTCTTTACCCACTCGGGCTTCTTTTGTCACCTAATATAACAGCCTCATGAACTTGCCTCTGAACCGAGTTAAGGGTTTATGAGCTATCTCTAGTGATTCTCAAATTCAGCAGTCTCCAAAAACTCCACAACAGTAGTCAAGATTCGCAGCACCTCTGATGTGAATAACTATCCCAAAATGCATCATGCTGAAAGTAAACTCAAGTATGAAACAAGCTCACTGTAAATCCAAGGTAACACTGACATGGAAAGGTTTTCTGCTGTAGCAATGTGAGCCTTTTAATATACATGCTAATGAACTGTGTCAACATAAACCAGGTGGAAAGCTGAAGACTGAAATAAAATAAAAACAGTTCTGAACATTCTGAAGTGCCAACTGGTGTTATATTGAAGCCAATTGTTTTCTTCCAAGAAACAAATCAAACATTGGTTGAGGTTTCTGTCCTTGCAATTTTCATCCAATTTCACTTGATAAAAATTCTACAGTGAATTGGATTAAGTCCAAGAACCAATAATTCAGTACCAATAAGTTTTCAGTTTGGGTGGAGGAATCAGATAATGCCTTTCAAGATTCATTTCAAATCCAAAATTTCAAACAAGGGTTTTTGCTTTTGTACCAAAGAGGGTTTTCAAGTCTTTTGCCACCTATATACTGTAAAATGTGTCATTTTCTACCAATGTTGATGTTTGATTCCATCACTGAGACAATTTAAAGTGTGACATTTTTAAAATTAATGTAATATTTTCCATTTTTGACTATTTAGGAAAATTAAATTTGAAAATAAAAGAAGCTCATCCTGCAATTCAAGTTATACATCGAAAAATACCAATGCCCTATTTTGGCATAATCAGATCTTGTGGCATTGTAAACATACATGTATTAGGTAGCAACTTTCAAGCTGCCAAAATCAAGTAATAAAAATGTCCATAATTAGGGTGGCAAGTACAGTAATGCGATGGAAGAAAACATCACCGCCCACTAAGTGTTAGACAATTAATGTGACTAAGGGATACCCTTTTAGTTATACTTTTAACTCCATTTATGAAGTCACAGCTTTTATGACATTCACTTTTGACTAATTGACCCACATTATCAGCCTGTTCTTTATTATGGTAATCATATCATTCATATTTATTATAAGACAATATCCAAAACTTGGCACAAGAGATGAAACGCAGGTATCACTCGATAGAAAACGTGCACAAAGCTGATAAAAAGGAACCAAACAAAAAACAAAGCAAATACATAGAAGTGTATTTAGAAGTAGATAGAAGTGCATGAAACATGTTATTGTCAATTTGCTTTAATTTACAGACCAACTGTGCATAACCCACAGATACATGTATTTACAGATGACAAATGAATCCTATAACCAAATGTCCTTTCTACAATCAAGCCCATGTACATTTGCAAGGAAGTAAAGCACACAAAAACAAAAGCAATAGAGACATTACCGTGATAGCTCCTCTGACAAACTGCATTTTGTTTTTCATATTTAATGTTATTTTCTTTCCATTTCACTGGAATGAAAATACAATATTGAAGTCCACGAACACCTTTTCCATTCACATTAAAAATAAATAAATCTTGTTCAGTCTGCTGAATTAAATTCCCCTTTTTAGATTCTTATTTCTAGACCAGTCGCTAGTCCTGTAACACCTTCCTCTGATAAATAAGAAAACTGAGGTTAAAAGAAGGATAGTGTCACCGAGCAAAAAGATACACACTAAGATATCTTTAATTCAAGAAACCTTTAAACTATACTGCATGTTACTGAAGCATCATACATATACAACTGTTCAATAGGTATTGTGTGCGTGGTATTCTGTGATCTTTTTCCTGGATACAAACATGTAGTTACACAAAATAACATACTTTCAAAGATTATCAGTACACATATACATGTACCTACATGGCTGACAACTTTAGGGGCTATTCCCCAAATTGACCAATTCTGCCTTCCTTTTGTCTGCAAAGTTTTAGCACTTTGGCCTTGGTCTATTAATATGTGCTACAGATTACGTATAAAAATGAACAGAATTCAGGAAGTCCCTTTCCAACTTTTTACATTGTACATTAAAGATTTCAACAAGCTACACAGCTTTTTCAGGAATGCATGTAACGTACAGGCCTACATCTGTACATGAAAAATCGCATTGTTAATCAAATGCTAAATAAAATGTTAATATAAGTAGCCAGGTGAACAATAAAAATTATTTGAAGAAAGTCTTTTTTCAATAAAATACAACACACAGAATAATGAGCTTGTTTTAAAGACAGATGACGCAGAGAGAACAAATGAGGCCGTGTCCGAAACGGGCTTTCACAGCTACGGCTAGGTCTATTGACTGCGCATCTCCACACATTTCCAATGGAGCGAAGACCTAGAACTAGCTCTAGACAATAGATTTGGATGCAGCCTAAGTTGGCAATGGTATCTCCTTGTTCCACATGCAATATGCAAATCATTCGTTTGCATATCAAATGACTCCTGTAACCCCCATTTCCAATCAACTGTGATTATTTTCTTCACACACAGCTTCAGCCATCAACCCCAACAGTCTTCAATCCCCTAACCATTGGAAGATTGATGGCCATATTAATGGCATGTCCAAAACTGGCCTCCAGATACTGACCCACCATCACAAGTGGCCTTCTAATTGATCACAGTGGCCATATTTTGTTCCAAAAGGCACTGTAACCCCTATACAGAGCATCACACACAAGTCATTCCGTGACCACATCCTACAAAACTCAGCATTTGGGGCATTCATTGCCATTTCTTCCAAGCATGTAAACCTTACAACCATCCACAGATCAGGACCACTCTGGTACAAGCTTATTTCCAAGCTTCCCCTAGGGAGAATCTAATTCCCACTCTCCCAATGTTAGTTTTACTTTGCCACTGCCAAGTCTCTTTACTAAGCTATTTTAAATTAAATCAATATACAGAAGTAATGTGATTATTTTAAAGGCCAAATTTTGTAACACATATCTTTTTACTGACACAAATCTTCTTCCAGTCAATTCTAAGTACTAACCGGAAAAGAAGCTTGTTAGCAAACATTTCAGCTTTATTTAATTCAATCTCACTTTGCATTCCTAGTCAATATTTATTATACAATGAGGGGCTAAACCACTGGATGCACCAAGATTCTAGGTATTAGCAAGAGTTTATTAGCCATCACCAATGACCTTAGCTGATACCCAGGCCAATTTAAGAGAGCTACATGTACAAATCTTTGAACTTTGCTAACCACATTGAACTTCTGTTTGGCGAAAGACAAAATCTCGGTCAAAATGTCATGCAATACCTACTGCTTATGAGCAGTAGATATTTGCTAAGCACATGAAATTTCTCAGCAATCTTTTATGCCAAGTTGCCTCATGACACATGAACAATGCTACCTTCAACATTCTGAAGGCTAAACATGGTGGCATCCCTTTATGACTCTACTGTCTCTCCAGCACCATCCATATTCACCGTGGTGCTATTTCCATTGCTACTGCTTCCAACCTCCTTCCCAGAATCCTTTGCACTGTCACCAGGCAACAGGTGCATGGTGGTCTCTACAGGTGTTGAAGGTTGTTCATCCATGCTTGGCCAAGCTGTTTGCTCCTCAACAGCACTCAGTCGCTCATTGAGTGCTTTCAAGGCAATTTGCCTAGCATAATAAAATCAAAATGGTCATTCAAATTTATTTCTCTTCTTATAATTCCTGTGGTTTACTTGTTTTTAAGAATTAAAATAAGAACACTTTTAAATCATTTTTCACATATATTGTAACAAAATAAGATTGCAAACTAGGCCTCTCCTAATTTACAGAGTACAGGAGCAGGTCAGTCCAACAAAACATGTCTTGATGTTTTAAAGCTGCTCAGATGGCCTTAGCATTTTAACAACTTTACTGTATAACATAAGCTCATTGCTAAACTGTGCAGACAACAGACACAAGCTGCTCTGATGATGTCAGAAAATGATAGCAACAGAGTTTGTGACAGCAATACATCTACCAAAGTGGCAATGAGCATTCACTCTGGGGGTAATTGCAGGCAGTGGTGCGGGGGTACATTTTTCCACCACTAATCTGAAAGTTGGAAGAAGACTCTGTGTAAACTAATCAACAATAGCAAGATTCTCACACAAGTCTGAATGGACCACGGACTAGTTTGTATAATCACAATTTAGAGAAAAGACCAGGGCAAACCCTAGCCTAACCCACTAGGGCCTTTTTACTAGGGCACATTCTCAATCCTCTGAAATCCTCCAATTGCCCAACTTTAAAAACTGCATTCATCCTCAATCCTCCGAAATCCTCCAAAACCACCCAGAGGATTTTGGAGGATTGAGGTGGGTTAGGGCTAGCTAGTCCACAAGATCATGGTAAAAGCAAAGAGCAAACTGCTAATGGCGAGGGGGGGGGGAATTTCTATAAAGACCCTAGACTCTGACCTTCTTCTCTCTGCATCTGCTGGATCACTGCCTGGCAGATTAATGTTGATTGGAGATGGAGCTCCCACATCATACTTCCGAATTTGCTTCTTGCAAATTTTGATCCGCACAAGGAAACTGTACACTGCAAATACATGGGAAAAGGTTTAACTTAAAATCACAAACTTGAAGATCAGTTTTTCAGTATCAAGAGGTGAGTCATATCATGAAGTGCTCTACTTATTGCACACAGTTTCTGCATATGTCAAGTTGTGCAGCTGACAAAAGGGTAAGAATGACAGTCTGTCCAATAATTAACATTTCACTATTTCAATACAAACTTTGCTCTGACCCCTATGAATGAGTATGGAGGAACAGACCATATGACTTCACATTATTTCTTCCGATTTTCTGACATTAACACCACATTCCTCACTGCAGTCATTAATAAATCAGCCATGAGCACCCTGAATGCTCCATAATCAAACAATGTCAGGAATGGAGTGTGTACCAAGGATTTACAGATGTCATCACTGGATTGGTTGTTTGTTGAAAGTTTTCTTTAAAAAAAGAAATTTTCCCAATATGGATACCTGTGTTTGACACAATTGCAACTGGTGGCTGCATGACCTCTGGGAAGAAGGTTGCAAATCGGAACGTGTCTGACATGTCTCCTTTGGTGCCACTCTGTCTCTGGAAAAATCTCAGGTAGATCCAACTGACAAAAAGTCCTAATCACCAATCACAAGAAAGACCCAATAAATATAGGCACTTTAAATAAATTCTTAACTTTATTGTAGTTATTAACAATAAGAGTTTTCTGGAACCACATTATATGAACCTAATGATTTCAAGAATAGTGTTGGACAGCAACAATAAGATGTATTTTTATGAATAATTTTAAATGTTTGGCTCCACACTTTCATTTGTAAAATATTCACCTTTTACTATTAAAATATTTATGTAATTTCTTTCAAGAAACCTTTTCTGTGGATCATGTTGATAAGCTTCCTTGGGTATGCAATCACGTCACTACATGAAATTATGAATGTAGACATTGTACTCTTGGACTAGGATTACTATCATCTTTAACGGTAAACTACTGAAGCCTAAGAGTATGGAAGAAGTCTTTGACAAACCTGATGCACACATGCTGAGCGAAGTCCCAGGAATCAGTCCAAGAACCCTCAAGATGGCTGACAACGACAGGATCAACAGTGGCAGATCTTTGATCTTGAGTTTTAATGACCCTTTGCCAATTAAATCCTGGTCTCCCATCATCTGCTTCAATACAACAGACACGCCAGCCACATACCCGGCTAGCCCATGCAGATAGGACGCAAATAGGAGTGCCGTGTTGAACACGGTCAAGTACATGAAAAGGTAGATGACTGAAGACAAAAGGGCTGCTCCTGTATTGACAACACAGAAGAAAATCAACATTTCCAGGGCACCAAATAACGGTTCAATCAGTTTGCCGGCCACCAAGATGAATGCGATATCAATGATAACAAACCACAGGTGAACTTCCACGAACGGGTGCGTGAACAGCGTCCATATTCGAAAACTCGGAGGAAAAATCAGCCCTGGTGTGACGGTCAAGGCCTCTTGAAACGCCGTTATGTTGACCAGAAAGGAGAGGAAATAAAAGATGCACACAAGAATGCAGACAGTTTTTACCACCACGCTACTTTTCGAGAAAATTGTAGGGATTTGTTGCAGGCCACCCACCAGCGACTCCGTACTGGAAGTCGCCATGTTGGAACCGAAGCTGTGGCAGTGCTCGAAACAGTAAAGCGCCCTCTTTCAGCCTGTTAATGTTTAATTTTTACTTGCAACTTCCCTCACTCGTACTCAAGCAGGTGGTTTACCATTATATGCAAATTGCTATTTAAACCGCCGCACTACTGGTGGTGGTTGTAAATTCATCATTTTCACCATTGTAGTACGAACACTGCTTGTATTAGCCAGAGTGCGTTGCGTTTGGCGACAACAGCCGAATCTGTTGTCTCAGTTCTAGGCCCGGTCTTTTATTCGGTGTTTCGTGTTAGTATAACTTATTACCTTTTAAATACTTGCGTAAATTTTTCTCGACACTTTGTGAACCCGTTTCGGAGACAGTATGTTATTTTAACAATAAAAAATCCCTGAGCAAGACATCTAGCTAATTTTACTTAATGAGTGATTTTCAGATCGATAACAATAACGAAAGGTCGTCGTATGATATAGCCATGAATAATAAGGATGATCATGTTGTTAATTTCAACAGCATTTCGAGCTCTATCGGTGTGCATGTACGGTGGTCATCACATACCGGCCACACATTTCGCTCATGATTCAGTTGGTTTGCATCTCTTTTTTAATAGGTCACCCCATGGTCTGCTTGCCTGTTGTATGTAATAACTTCTATGCTTCATTATGTCGACTTCAATCACATTGCCTCCCCAATCTAAAAAGGCTGGGAAAAAAATTGGTTTGAAAAAAAAGTTACTTCGTGATGCATGGAGGAAGGAAAGTATGGTGACAGTTTAAAATCATGCAAGTCATACTGCAATTAGGAAAGACTCATTCACTCTAACAGTTTATGATCTCTAAGTACAATTGCTAGGCTTAGCCATGCAAAAATAGGAAGAACAAAAATGGTCAACCTGATATAAGATCAACCATAAATCACACTTCGTAAACCACAACTGAGTTTCATCATGCCTCAAGTAGAGTTGGTCGAAGCACGCCGAATCTCGGTTTTCACCATTCTGTGGTGGAAAATGGGTTTCAACTTTTCAGTTTTTGTTGACGGGAAGGATTTTGTGTAAAGCGTGGATATTTGTTGCTATGAATTTTTTTAAAATTCTTGTTACCGGCCGCGAGTAACAAAAGACGGCGATTCAATTTCGCGCCACCTCAGCTCCTTACTCCAATGGGCCAAACAAAATGCAGTCTTGGAAATACGCAAAGTTATTCAAGGCGCCAAACTTTGGCATGCTCACCTCGTAGCGCTATGCTACATGACATAGCGCTGTTCATGTTACGCATGATGAACCACAACTTCGGTTAGTCAACTGGGGTCTGCATGTCTAGGGCCGGGCATCGCCACGTGGTCGCAGCTTTGGCAGGTCACATGTACAGTCGTAATCGAAGTTCTTCAAGTTGGAAGTCAAGGTTACCCCTTTTTGGTAGTTTGGTAAGTTCATGTTTACAGATTATGGTCGTGTATAGAAGTGTTCCTTTTCTCACGGAAGAGCTGTCAAGATGGTCTGCTGTAACTGTGAAGAGATTCTGCACAGTACAGGCAACCTGGCCTGATAAAATCGAGAGTCCACAAAAATTCGGCCATGTAGGGCCTTTTGTTATTTTATAGAGATTACAGTCAAAGTGGGGGCGTAGTTACAGACTCGTGTAGGGGGTGGGTACGGACATTTGGTGATAGGCTAAACCATCAGGAAAGCCCATAGCTTTACAAGTGTACCCCCAAAAAATTGTGGACTCCTCTACTTGAAGTGGGATTGGGCAAATTGAGTTATCATGGTACCTCCATGGTTAGACTTCCTTCAAAATGTGAAAAATGCAGGCCTATGGAAAGACGTGTTAAGTAATGCTTTATACATCAAAATCTACGATTTCAATCTTTACACTCTGAGATAAATTTTTTATGGAGGGTGCTGTATAAAAAATTCTGAATTATTATTAAAGATAAGCGACCTTTAGTTAGGCAGACATTTTGTTGACTGAAATTCGACAGTTTCAGTTATTCCACATGAAATGAATCAAATTTGTTGCATTAATTTGTCATGTTTTGCATGATATAACTTGCTCATTATCCGCTCCGAGTGGAACAAAAGCTTGGGGCGGATAGTGACCATGGTGGAGTATTGAGACTCTGAATTGGGATCAAATGGGGAAATAAGTTGGAAAGTGGGCCCAGTGAGGGGACCGGGGTTGTTTAAACCATTAAACTGGTTATGAATTTGACACGTGCCTTTTAGCCCCAGGGGAAAATACAAGAAAATCATTACACATATTAGTTTCTCCTGCACCAGTTGTGTAAATGTGTATGCTTGCTTTGTTTTATTCAGGCTTCCGATTTGTCGCTCAGTGTATTGTTTTCTGAAACCAGTACCGATATGTGTCCTTGTTTACAGATGTCAGCACCCCCAAAGGAAGAATAGTGTATTCATTGCCTCAATGAAAACTGAGTCAAGATGTCAATTGAATTCTACATTTTGACTAAGCTATAGTCTTTTATATTTCAGGTTGTTCATTAAGATGGCATATTTCACAGAAGCAACGCCACACACACCTGCACATTTTTCCAAGCGTGAATCAGACCTTTATGACCTAGAAGAAGTAGATGCAGTTCTGGGTGCGCACTCCCAAGTTCTTGAAGTCTGTGATAAATGGGCCGTGGTCAGTGTGGCAAACTGCTGCAGGGCTATAGTCTTTAAGGGCAAGATTTGTCGTGGCAACGTTCCTCATGTCTGCAAAATGGGAGATTATTTGTGTCCTGGGTACAACGTTGTTGTTGATGTTCGGCGTCTCAAGAAAGGCGATGCCGAGGCTCGCAGACAGCAGTGTGGCTGGGTGGTGACAAAGATTGTCCGAGAGGAAGTGACTCCACTCTCACCAGCATACTACAGAGATCACGGCAACTTGTTTGACTTTATGGATAAAGGCAAAAGGCGGGGCAACTCAGCATCATTAAGACCAAGAGAAATTGATCAGCTTGGAGGTTGGACAGGAGAGGCTGTACACTTAATCCGTAGCTTTCTGTCTAGTTGGAATGGTATTTCCTTGGCTGGTTTGATGGACAATCTACAGAGTGCAAAGCCTATCATAAAGGATGCACTCTACTGTGTTAAGGCTCTTAGAGATTTTGTGGAGAGTCAACCACGGTTCTTCACTTTGACATCTCAAGGTTTTGTCTATCTCCAAGGGGGGCATCGAGCCAGCTGCATTGAAAATGAGATCAAGAGCAGGCTACCTAGAATGGATATTGGCATCTTTGGAGATAATGCGGTCATCGTGCATAAGCCGTGGCATGTAGGCGGTATCATCAAACCAGTCATACGAGATGAAGACACCAGAGTGGTCGCATTGGATACTGAGAGAGCTTCCAACAGTTAGTACTTAGTTTTAAGATGGCCAGGTTTGGTCATACATGTATAAAAACTTTCAAAATTTGCTGAGCAATTAAAGTTAACAAATCTTGCAGTTTATTGTTTATTACATGTCTTGTTCAGTGATTTATCTATCAACCTGTTAAGTAACATTAAGTAATGTTGTAAAAACATTTGTTTTTACTTACAGGTGATTGTGAATACTTATCAACTGTTCAAATTGCCATTATTGATAGTGTCTGCCCAACTCCTTTCATATTTGATGTTTTATATTGGTCCAATCGGGATTTCAAGACTAGCAAACTCAAGCATCTTTTGGAGAGTGAGCGTGTTTTGAAGGTACGATTACAACTCAAGCAGTTTTGAAAGTTGTGTTGTGCCTTTCATCAAAAGCAAATGAGCAAACCAGATCTCTGATTGAAAATTGTAGCAGACTGCAACCAACATTGACAAATTTACATTGTCACTTGTGTTACTTTCACCTCATGACTTGTGGCTGTGTCCCTCTTTAGACCAATTTAAAAATCAGCTGAGAATGTTTAACGCAGGACAAACTAAGGCCTAGGCTATACGCAATGCTACTGCCGTTCCAAATTCAAATTATTCAATTTCTTAAAGTTTGGCATGGCGTTTAGTGCAATTCGGCTCGGCAAATTGACTTTGGCAATGCAAGCCCTTTAGCTCAACAGAGTATGCAACACTATCAGTCCAAATGGCAGTGGTATAACAGTGCTTTATTTAAGTTGGGCATTTAATGCAACTGCCATGCTATTGCCGCTCTCATCTTACTTAAGTTCACCATGGCAGTAGCACGGTGTCTAGTCTTGGCCTAACCTTCTCCAATCTCAGTTCAAAGATGAGGAAAACCTGGGTATGGTGGATGCAAAAGCAGAACAGTTTTGTTAATTGCAGGCCAAGAGAATGTTATGATTGTAACTTAAAAGCAAAAAAAGGTCAAACAGTACTACAGTATGATCACATTCATACATGGGAAACTATTCTCATTTGGGTACTACATAGACACTTTCAGTGTGCCTCTGTCTCATATGCTAATTGAGCAGAATATCTGGTTCTTTCCTGACAGGTGGTACATGACTGCAGAGGTGACAGTGCTGTATTGGAGAGATATGGTATCACACTGAGGAATGTATTTGATACTGCTGTGAGTGTGTCCTATTTTTAAAGTATTTTTTAAGTATGCAGGGTAAATCATCTACATGTATTCTGAATAGCCTGTGAAGGTTTCTGCTTGACTGAAAAACGAATTTGTTTTTACAAGTGTAGTACCTTTCCCAAACAAAGTAAACTTTGTACTTCCACTGTTTGGACTGCTGATTGTTTAATAATCCTTAAAAATGGGAATGAGGGCTGTTACTTGTCTTGAAAATTTCCAAGTCGGGCAGGACAAAAAATCCAAAATTAATGATACAGAATGTTTTGTTACAGAATGAGACTAAGCAGTTGTCTCCACAGCAGAAACCACAAGGCCATAAATTCCAGAACTGATTTATTCCTACTTGAGTGTACAGAACCGAATCTCCGTGAATGGCCATGTTAGCCAACAAGCTTAAAACCTTAGCTAGAGAAAATGTACAATCCTTAAACTATAGTAGAGTTGGGAGGGGTTCAAGACTGCAGCATGGATCTCAAATCCATACATTTAACATGTCATTTCTACAGGTTGCCCATACCACCATCATGGAACAGTCCAATGTGGGATATACTCCACCCCCTAACTTCACCCGGCTCTGTGAGGTATTTGGCCGTTTCACTCCACAGAGAAACTCTAAGGTAGTCTATCAGGGTAATCGTAATTTCTGGGCCAAGAGACCATTGACTGACAACATGATTGACCATGCTGCGAGTGATGTGATGGGGTTGGCTACAAATGTCTATGAGAATATGAGAAGGTGAGTTGAATGACCCGTTGAGTGGACAGCTGACCCACATCAGTGACAGGAGGCAACATTCTCCCAGATTTGGAAATTACTATGGCCAAGTACCCATCAATTATACTGGCTTACATAGGTTGGATAGTAGGCTTTAAAAGAAAGCACAAATTGTGGCAAACAATACCAACGCTGTTGACCCTATCATTGTTCAGTGAGGTAGGAAACTGCCATGCTGCACCAGCCAGTGTCTGACTTATTTGTGAGGCAGCATTCATACATCCAGACCAATCTGGCAGTTTCTAATTTATATGAATTCTGCCAGGAAAATACAATTTTCTAAACACCACAAATTTGTCAAAGGGGGTCATTACCTTGGCTGCTCATAAAGACTTAACTGCAGTGTGGCAGTCAAGTCTGGCACAAAGCTTGAGTTATCCAATATCAGTTATAAATCCATCATAAGTCCCAAGTTTAAGTCATAGGGTGTTCCACTGAACTTTAACAAAGGCATTCTTCTCACTGTTCATTCTCTAATAATTATTACCAATGAGATGACTTGTGGTTTTACTCATGACCAAACATGGGGTGGTAAAAAGGTCCTGAAAGGTTTAGCATCAAGGAAATCTTTGAAGGGTTAGGGCTGTTTTTTCATTGGGAACAAAAACCAAGGGTACAATGAAGTTTATATCTTTTCTCCAGCTTCATGAACCCAGCTTGGAAGTCCCGATTTGATGCTCTGTGTGCCAAGAGCCTTGGCCATTGAAAATGACATCGTAGGCAAGCAACATTCCAAGTCAAGGATGGAGTAGCAAGGACTGGTTTCTGAAAATTTGGACACAATATGGCAGTGTTCAACACAAAGGCTCCGAAGAAAACCATCTTGTGCCCTAAAAATTCTTTCCTTACTGGTGTATGAAAGCAAAGAATAACACGTTCTGTGATAAGAATGTTTTTAAAATATTGTTTAGAGTGAATCAGTGTCCATCACCATGCAGGTATATGAAAAGCATCTGGACATGTCACTGACCCCTGACCCCAAATCAGGGAAATGTGGCTGGAAAAATAACTTACCAGTCTGTTTATGTGACGATTCTGATTGGCCACACATGTCCAGTGTTTTTCAGAAACAGATTTACAAACATCGACCAGGTTTGGAGAGTTGGGTCACCTATTTGTTAACAATGCAAAGGTTTTTCTTTTCTGAATAAATTCCAATAAATTGCTTTGGAAAGCCCCGGTAAATGACTGATAATGGCCACTGCTTGAAGTGGTTAGAGAATGTGCATTGTTCATAAAAGTGACCTAGTCCATAAATGGGGTTTGTGAATCACCTAATCATATTTTGTTCAGACAGTGTTCTAGAGAGATCCCAATACATGCATAAACATCAGTATGTAGGGCTCATGTTTACATGTATCCAATCCATCACACTCCCATTTGGGAAGTGGTGGCTTTTGTTTTTCCATTTTACAAGCAAAGAGGACTTATAGACCATTCAAGTATTTTTTCACGTGCCTCTCAAAGTCCAGATAATAGTTTCTTAGATATGGAATTAACTTTTAAAAGCATACCATTACTAAGAAACTTGTGATAATGTGAAAGAAACCTTAAATGATTAGAAACTGTAGGGTTGCCAATATTACTTGAAAAACCAGTTATAAAGTTTACATACAGTACATAGAGTTTTTGTTTTCTGTTGTCACTGTTGAGAAATTCAGATTTCCTCTTTAACTGTAAAATGCTTTTATATGTTGTCTGACTGGTTTATTTCCTCCTCTAAGTGTTCTGATTTCCTCTAGCAAAATTTGTTTCAAGTTCCCAGTTCAGAAAGAATGGGCTTTACTGTTCAATCAAAAAAGTAAAACGATAAAAACAAATGAAACAGTAAAACAAAAAGTACTTAAAATACTCCAAAAATGGTTTGATAATGATTAACCTCTGTTTCATATTTAAAGAATGTCATCCAATTTTTTCAAGTTTCCACAAATTAATTTCCATTTTGGGGGTCTCTACTCCTGTACTCATTTTAACAATGCATAATACATCTTGTGATGAATCACTATTCTCATAATTTTAATGATTTTGTCCCCAGAAAGTGCCAAACTTTTAAGTCTTATAAAAATTCAAACATGGACTCAACATTTATACCTTCCAAAAGTATCTTCCAAAACTTGAGACTTCAGGTTGCATAAGTTTAAGCTTTGTCCCTTTGGTATCCCAGTCACATAAATGAAGATAATATTATTTGAAAAATTAAAGATGTAGTCAAAAAAAATGTTCAAAAAGATTTCTGTGATAAGAAGTACTTTTCAATCAAGTGATTGCTCTTTAATGTGCCATGTGTCAGCTTCTATCAATGCTCAATTGATACCAGTTCGAGGGGTCATGACCATATAAAACAGTAAATATTACAAAAATTGAGTAACTTCTAATGACTTTAATTTGTAATTTTCCCGCTTGAATTCTGGGGATGGTAGTCTGTTTGAAATGTATAAAACTCACAGACATTAAAGGAGAATGTAAAAATATAGCTGTTTCCAGAAGTAGTTATATGTACAGGGCGTCATGTATAAAGCAGGGTTCATAGAAACAAAGTACTTCCATGCTTTCTTAGGTTTTCCACTACTTATTTTCCTTCACCTCTAAACTAGTCTTGGGTTCAACTTCACCTGAACAAACTTGAAGGGTCATCAGTATGCAGACCTTGCAGAAACAGGACATAATTAGGATCTGAAAACAGGAAGATTGAAAGGAAAATTTGTGAGTTAATCCTTGCCATTCCCAAGAGTCTGGGGGAGGCGAATCGGACATCCTATATCTACAGTCATGACAGTATACTTCATAGTTGAATAATTAGCAAGAACTTGCAAAGATAGTCCAAAGGGATCCTTCAAATGGCATAAACTCAAAGAAATTTCTTCTGTTATGAAATACTTCAAACAAGTATCTGGAGCCTTAGGGATATTTGCCAGAAGTTTTTAAGGTGCTAGAATTTGCCATATTTTTCAGTTCCTTGCCATTGTTTTTTTAAAGTTACAAACTTGTTTACAAATTAAGATAAGGTATTCAAACTGTCTGTATTTGAAGCTGAGTATGAAAGAAAGCCTGGAAACTTAATTTCTCAGTTTTTTTCAGGAAGTTATGGCATGGCCAAGTAAACTACGCTGTGACACTACATGTATGCCTGAACTACATGTGCCGTTTTCAGTTGATTTTTTTTAGGTGAGGCCATGAGGGGTAAATAATTTTAAATACAAACACACTGAAGTTAAAGACAGTGGTACATATGAGGTAATGTTTTCTGGCCAAAATACCAGTTTAATATATCAGTGTGAGTTTCAAGTTTGCCCAAGAAGTGCCTAAAAGTTGGAGTATCTTCATAAAGTTTATATCATATTTTTCTTCTCTTTTTACTGCTTTTTTCAGCACCTTTATTAAACAGGTGTATACTTACATTACACAATTTATATTTGAAGGTGAAACTTTAGTTATAAATTGCCAGTCTGCAATTGTACTCTAGAACAATGGACTCACAAATGTCACGCAAATGTTGATTCTGTCAAACTGATATTAAAGATGTAATCATACATTAATGCATGACACCTGCCTCTTCAAATTTTTTTCTTTGAAACAATGTTTTCATTAAATATGACATACAGCTACATTGTGGTTTAACAGACTGATTTTAAAGACTTAGAAATGACATTTTGTAAAAGCATAGCCAATTTTGTTAATCATAGCGATGGATTAAACCATTTGTACCAAACGTCATTTTCCATTGAAAAATACTAAACCTAACACAAAATTTGATGAAAAGTTTAAAAATAATGATGAAAATGACTGTTGATGGCATTAAGAAAGCTATTTTGCAAAATATATGTACATCCTTTCAAGTTGGATTTTTTCCGGTAAGGGACAACTCGTGATACTTTTGGCCAGTTAAAATGACAAAAGTGTACTCAAACCAGTTTAAGATTTTGCATAGTATTTGTAAACAAGAAGTTTACTTTCATACATTTAATCTTTTGTTATATATTTGTGGAATTTTGTTTTTCATGATTCCGTCCAGTATCCCTGATACTTTGACAAAATAAACTTGAATTGATTCTATTCAAATTAACAACGTGTTCAATTGTATGAGCTGTGCATGCACAAAGTTAATCGTGAATTATCAATACTTTTTGCAGGTATTTCAAGTTCAGCAAGTTCAATCTAAATATCAGCATTGACTTCTATCTTTTACACCTAGAAACTCTTGAATTTTTATTGAATTCATTCATTTAAATATCCCAGAACTGGTGTTGCTTCAAAAACCCGACCCCCAAAAAACCCTGCAGAACCAAGAGTTATTCATAACACAATGCAAGCTGCCCTAGGGCAGTAACAAACCTGTTTACTGTGGGAAAACCTTGTTTCAATGTGTTCAAACATACACAGCCCAAGCATGAATTTTCATAGAGTTGGTGGAGAAAGATTTAAAGGGTGACTTGCTTTCCCAAAAAAAATCGCAACTCACCATTTCTGATATTCAGGAAAAATTTCAAATAATTTGAAGAAGGCTTAGAAACATCAATTTCAAGAACCCCAAAGTCTTGTTGATAAGTGACTCGTATAAAAACTGAAGTGTACAGGTAAATTTTATTTATACACATTGCAGTGGCAAATCCATGTGTTCTCTGATGCAAAGTAATTCTTATGTTGTTCTGAGATTGTTTCAGCCAACTTCACTTAGATCATTTTTTTCATCATGCAGATCAAATCACTTTGTATCTAAGCATTAAAACGTTGTTTATTCAATAATAAGCAACCTGGTACACATCTCTGTTGTTTACATGTGTACTTGTAAACAGAAAAACAATAGCCATTTCCCAAGACATTAAGTTGTATTCTCACCAAAGTAACTTTAAATGTTTGTCACATCTAACTTGTCATATGCAAGTTAAGTCACTATTGTCACTATTGTACCAGGGCCACTCTTCTTAAACAGCCTCTTCAATCTTTGCCCCCCCCCAAAGGAAAACTTTTTGAGACTGATCAACAATTGTATCATTCTACAATTAGAGGCATGAACATCATTTTCTTTTTAATTCCCAGAGGTTAGGGTTACTGAAAGGACTAGTAAGCAGAAACTCATTGAAATGAATAACATCACCAGCACAGATACCCCCATGTCCAATGCCTATACACACTCTAGACTATTGTTACCTAACGGTAACACATCCCCTCTAGATGTCTGTAAAGAATTCCTGAGATTCTGATCAAACAATGACCAACACAAAGGTGGGGGGGGTGCTCTCCGCCCCATATCTTGCATCATATGCCAGCACAGCCCTGGGCATATTGTACACCTGTGCCTTTTGTATATTATCTAATATTATTGAAATCAGGTGGCAGATCCCAAGGCAACCCGTTAATATGGCTGAGTTGGTTTCAAATTGCACAGCAGTGTACAGTACAAATGCTCCCACAACTCATGAAGCCATAGGGAGAGAAGGATGTTGCTTTATTAGATGTAAAAAGGAATAAAATTGTTACTGCAAACTGTAAGTAGGACTTGTCAGGCAGTGACCTTTGAAACTGTGGTCAGCAACAACAAAGTGATATACACCAACTACTGCTAAAATAACATCAGAAATGTAACCTGCTGTTGACTGCCTTCTGAAAATTCTGACCAAATCTACAATAAAAATGGAGGGCCTGACATTTCAGTTCTAAAATAATCTTTCTCAAAGACAGAGTCAAGTAAACAAACACAACCAAAGACTAATTTCTCACTTAATCTTATGACTCCCATTGATGGTTAAAGCCATTCTGCCTGCAACATGTTCGTGAAATTCCATATCTATTGAAACTGTAAACAAAAAATGAGTTGACTACTTATTTTTTAGATTAAATATGACTCACCTGTATCTGCAGTCAGGAATCCCCTACGAATCAGGAAGTCTAGTATGACTAATGCGCAGTTAGGCTTAAACTCTTGGCTGGCTATTCTGTCTTTGACCTACAAGTGGGAACAAAGTCCATTTTACAAAGCTTTATCCACACTCCTTTACTGTTAAGTTGTTTGATTGAAGCCATCATTAATGGTTTGTGTGATACCCTGTACATCTAATCATAGAAATGAATTGTCAAAAATGTCAAGTTCTTGATAACTGTAGCAGTGGCTATTTCCAAACCAGAACCTGCTGGAAAGACTTTTTCCCCCAGAAACAATTAAGCTATTTCTATTTACAAGTGGGGACTGTCTCAGGGCTATCTGTGCAAAAACTTACGAATAAATTTGAATGAAATGCAGCAAGCTACCAGTACCAATACTTAAAGGAACCAGGAAATAGGACTTTTTTATAAATTTTACTAAAAACCTTGAAATTGCATCTTTGGGTTTCAATTAACCTGATATTAAATTTTTGGTTTGCAATTTCAGCCCATATTTTGATGCTTTTTGGTTTTATGCTAATGCATATTTGCATATTCATGAGCAGAACTATGATGTCATCCAAGGCACTGAATCTCAATGTTGCACTGATTTGTGCACAGAAAATTTATAGATTTTTTAACCACTGCTATGGCATATTTTATTTTCTTTGGCAATTTATTGCTGTGTAAGTATATGGCAATAATCCAGCAAAAATCCTTTTCACAGAAATGTTCCCAGATAGCAAATTTGGGGTTCACAATTTGAACATGAAAATATGCAACCTGAACCATGTCTTCCTGGAATTACATCAAAGCAAAAATGCCCTCACTTGTCCAGAAATGCTTGGTCAATTTTTAATGTTTGGAAAAGAGCACCGTTCAGTTCACGTAACTCAAAAAAGATGTCAAACAGTCTTCATACATGGAAGGAGAGTACAGAGATACACAAAAACTGATTCTAAGAAAAATTCATTTCCTGGATCCTAAGCAACCCTAATTACCTACTTCAACCATTTGGGGTGGGAGTTAAGGGGGTCATATTTCATGAAAGTACTATTTTTTTACCTCTTCCAATGTCCACAAGTAAAACTCTGTCACTTCCTCATCGTTAATCCATGGCATAAAGTCAGCAGGAAACTCCAGATCATAAACAAACTGGGTTTCATCAAACAACCCTCGTTCATCCTCATAAAAATAACTGATGATAAAGAAATGAACAAAATAATAATTAGAAATAATTTGTTGTTATGGTGTGCGGATGGAAGTCCAGTTGTGTACCACTTCATTCAAAATTCTGGAGTATACAGTAACTTTTATGATTGTATTTTTTACACATATGTATGTACCAGTATGTTGATAAGTTAATCTGTTTAAACAGCATTTTGGAAACAAAACTAAAAAATGGCATTTTCAAATTGTCAACATTTTTATCACACTTTTATCAATGCAAAATATGGTGCCTAAATCCAGAGGTTGATGCTCAAAGGACACAACAATCTCTTCAACATGAATCCCTTGGATCCAACCAACCTTATAGCTCCTGCAGGCTCAGCTTTCTGTGCAATGCTCTCTGGGATAGATGCTTCTTCAGCACACTCCTTTACTAAGCAATCCTTAATCAACATTCCTGATGGTAGACCACCAGCAGCCTGCAGTGAGTAAAAAAAAAACCAGACATTTTCTTTCCATACTGATGCTGTTAAAAGTTGTAGTTTCAGTAAGGAGCTGACACAATTGTCAAATTGTTATAATTTTAAACTTACCACATTATCCAATTTGTTTGGGAAGGTTGACTTTGTGGGTGACCTTCTTCCAATCCACATACATAACCCCTTGCTGGGATGGTGACAGTAACCGTTAAGATGGACACCATACTGCTTGATTCCAAACAGACCTAGAGCAACAAGTCCAACAAGAACATTATCAGAAAGATCTGAAACACTCATTTCAAAGGAGTCAATATGGTCTTCAAAATGTCTGAAACGTGGATTCTTTAAATTTTATTTGGTCTTCAGATTTTCGTTAAGAAGGTATCTGCGTGTATAAAGGCCAAACAATTTTGAGCTGTAAATGTACAAACTCCATTACACTTAAACACACTGATTTTCATCTTGTACCACAAAACAGCTTATAGGCTACAGCACCTTGAATATGAGTTGGTAATGTGTTTGGGGGCATTTACATAATTGTCCACTTTCCATGAATGTACTGGTTGTTTTTTAAGCCTGGCAAAGGCTTGATTGAATATGCTGCACCCCCAAATATGCCAACATTTGTGAGTCAAATCATCAATGAGCATTTCTTACAGGTTGCTGCTCTTTCCATATTCATCAGTGTTTCATCGTGATACGAGGCACACACGGCATACATCTGTGCAGAACAAAGGCAAGCAATGAACAGAAATACATTTTAGTATTATATGTTGGGCTTGCAAAGAAAGGAATCCCATTTTTTTGTCAGTGTTAAACACTGACAAGGATTAATTGAAATCGTATTAGATTTAGTCCTGATTTTGTGGAAACTTTTTGGTGTTTTCCAACGGCACACAGTCTATGATAATGTTTGAGAAGAAGAGCTCAAAATGTCAAGATGAATTCTCTGCCTGTCTCAGATTTGGTGTTGTGTTAAGGTCTCAATATCTTAGAGACTTATGGGTTATCTCTGACTGACTAACAACATGGCACCCTGACCTCATTCCTCCAACCCCTCAATGTAACAAACACATCCAGCTTTCTCATTTCCTGAAGAAGCTCTGCCATCTTGGTGGTCCGTTCCTCAAAAGTGGTCAGTGAAGATGACAGTGAGACTCTTTGCACATCATTTGTGCCAGCATCTCGCGTTATGTGGATGACGTCTGGACGATCCTGGAGATACTGAAGGACTTTTGGAGTGACGTAGCCTACTTGACGATCAGCAACAAAGAATGGCTTACATACTTCTCTGCTGGATCCTATTGGAAAGTAAAGACACACCAAAGAAAAGAAGTACTGCCACCAAGAGTATGGAATTGTAAGATACACGTAATTGTCATTGTTCCATCTGCTATCCCCAATTCTACCAATTCCAACCACGGCTGCCTCAAAGCAGAACTGGGGCTTGTCAGCTTTCAGCATGTCCAGTTGACAAGTATCTGTCCACTTTTGTTGCATCTGTCCGGTGCATTAGAAACTGGAACCAGACCACTCTAGGTACAAATGGATCTAGAACTTTATTTCCCTTGAAAAAAATCCTGCAGCGGTATTAATCTACCAAAAAGAAAAGAAAAACATGTATGGAAAGTAAACTTTTGAAATAACAGACAAAAAAAATAGAAATAATAACAACAGACCAGGGCTTGAACTTGGCCATGTCAACACATTAAGCTTGCTAAATAGCATGTTTATCGGTTGACATGGTTGAGCTTTCACGATTAGACAGTGACTGGAAATTGAAACCTTATTGTGCAATGCTGTGACTATAGATTTGGAAGTCGTGTTACTACATGTCTTTAAACTACTTACATGTAACTATACCTGTAGGCCTAGGCCAAGTCACTTGTTTTTTTATCACCAAGCATGAGGACGTACTACTATTACTGTATAGAGATTTACATAACAACACATGCATTTTTAGGTAATTTTCTAGATCAGTGATACAAACATGACGAAAGAAGTGAATTCAACAGGGGGTGTCCTAGCCTATGACAGGACTATGCATGGGCAATTGTTATCGTTTCCTAACTATACACCTAGTTAGGCTTATAAAATCATGTTATTAAAAATAACATGGTTGACATGGTTGAAACGCTAGGTGAGCAAACGTGAACATCTGTGAAGAAAATGAAACGGTCTACCTTTGGAGTAAAAAGAGTTGCACCATCTGACAACTTCCAGCATTTTATCTGACCAATGACTCGGCATACTCGATGAAGATGACATCTTTGCCAAAGAAGCCCCACAGATCCGCAACAAATATAAATGTAAACTCACTGCGCGTCGATCACATCGATACACACCGCAGGGAACGAGAAACCGTTCTACGACTAGGCCTAAATAACACCTGGTCACTTGATTGGATACACGCCCCCAAATGTGCATTTGACCTTTTTACTGAACACAAATCATCAATCATCTTAGGGCCTAATCGGTTGTGTGTAAGCCTTCAGTCATTGAATCAAAAGTTTCCGAAGATCGAGAAGTCGAGACATAAAAGATAATCTGAGCTGTACAGTTATCTCTGTATTAACTCGCCACGACCTCTTGAGGGCGTCCTTTTGAATTGCACGTGCAGAGAGAGAGCTAGCTAGCTAGCTTAAGCCGTAAAGTTAAATGCTGCTTGTAATTTGGGTGCTGCATGCAACAGATAGAGATAAATACCCCCAATTCCAAAATCCGGAAAATTACTCACAAATTTCCCATATTTTCAAGACACATATCAAATTAAGCTGACTTCCTTATCTTTCATTTTCCTTTCAATATTCAGTGGCTTAACTGATGAGTGCTGAAGATATTTCTCTTCAGAGATAATCACCCCCAAAAGAAAACAAGTCACGTGGCCCATCACCATAGAGCAATTTGGAGGGCCCAGTAGGCACAATACTTTCAATCTGGCAGTCCTGCTGGTAGATTCCGTACTCCTTGACAAATTCATCCAGTCCATGTGCATATGCTCTTAACAGCAGAGAATTTTACAACCTTACAAATCGTGATTTGCGGCGAGTTTGGGCCTATTCACTGGCCTGCAACCTTATAGAGTAGTGCAGACTTCGGGCTTTGAAATGGCTGTTCATTAAATGAGCAGTGCGGCAAGCACGAACTCTGCATGTGCACTGACACAAAAACCACAATTTTGGTTCCAATAATTCATATGCTCAGTCATGTCACAACTCTCTATACAAACAACTCTGAGCATGGAGCTCAGAGCGCGCCATATTGAGCATTTGCTAGGTTCCATTACAAACAACAACAGTGAAATTGTACATTAAAAAATCAAAGCAACACAGAAAAGACTGTTAATTCAAATAAATGTCGAATTTCTTTTCAAATCTGCTGGTGGTAAAATCATTGCCAAACAGGGCCTGTTAATTTAAGCAGGCACTGTACGCCCTGCCTCAATCCAATTCTCTGAGTTGAAAGTTCTCCGAGGGAGTCAGGTTGGCATCTTTTTCCTCACCTGACACCTCTGGGGGCCTGGGTTTGAATCCAGCTTGGTCCACGTGGATTGGGTTTTCAGTCCCAACCTAAGTCCATGGATTTCCCTGAAACATATCCGGGGTTTTCCTCCCACCTCTAACACTGAACATTTTTTCATTGTCTTCTTCACTCATTATCATTCTTTAACCCTAACAGTCCTCAATCCTCCAACAGGTGAAGGATTGAGGACTGTTAGGGTTAAGTAGCGCTAAATACCGTTGGATGATCATGCAGACATAAAGAAAGACACAAGAGCAAAATCCCTAATCGCTTGGAATATATAATGTTTTTTTTCCAAATTATTTGAAGAATCACAAAATATGAATGGGCTCTATTGCAAGTATCCACCCTTACGGCCTGCATCTCATACTTGCACTTAACAGTACTCTGTCATGTCTAGGTTTGGAGAACCATATCTCCTACACTGCAAACATCACTCAGTTGACCTCAAGGATTCTTTCAGTAACTCAACAGACTTCAAATTCTTGTCAGACGGCAAAAACTGGAACCACTTTTATTACACTTAGTTTGAACATCATTTATCTAGAAGTTGAAATGCTGGTCAAACTTTGTTTCAAATCATATGAGATGTGATCTGTGGGGAAAGACTGGGCCTCCACAGGGTTCTTGTTACTTTTCAAGAAAATCTTTTATTCTACACAAAAGAGCCATTTCAAATGTACTCTTAGACCAAGATGTTTCTTGAATTCAAAATGAAGAGCTTTCCAAGCCAAATAAAAGTATCACCATATAAAAGGTCGTCCAATACACATTATGAAAACGCCACATATGGATTACAGGTACAGCCTCTCAATTAGAATTCACATCAGGTGTGTTTCTTCTTGGGCCACAAAATAAATTCTTTCATGGATAACATTAACAGGTCTTTGGGGCCAAACTTCAATACTTCTGACTAAAACCAGTTACATCTCAAATTGTTTGAGCATTGGAAAGACATATCCCAACAACTTGATTATCCCTGACAATGACCTTGTCCTCTTGTCCAAACAGTGGTACCAAATGTTTTAACAAAGTGGGTTATTATATGAAAACTGTCTTAAATTCAATTAATAAAAAGCTGCCCCAATTGCAGTTATTTGACTGGAAATACTACATTGACTATAGGCCTTGTGTTCATCAACTCCATGTTTAAAAGTTATGGTTTCACTGAATTCCAAAAACTTCTTTTCAGAGATGAGCAGCGTCAGGGTTGAAAGTATTTAGAAATGCCCTTGATTAAAATCTTGACCTATTGAAAGAAGTATTGACCTTTCCTCAACGGCTTTCTTGTGTATTTTTAAAAGAACAGATGGCTTGAAATGTAACATCAAACGCTATCTTCACAGATCATGAAATGAAAACTTACATGTTCATGACAGTAAGAACTCCATTAAACCACTGCAACATGTTCCCATCAAAATCAATCCGTCTTCAAATTGTTTCAATACAAAGCATATTCATTTCTCATTGTTAATCTATCTACAGTATCAACATCTTTCTCTTTCACTCACCAAACTCTGAATAATTGCTCAAATCTTTTGATCTGTTTATTTTGAACACAAATTTCTACAAAAAAGGATATCATATTACTGAAGGCTTGTCCAAGTTTACCATTATTTCCATTCAAACAGTAAATTTGTGGGATATATAACGCAGAACAAAAAAGAAATAGCTCCCTCTATCCACCTCACACAGTTATGTGGAGGGGGAAGTGAAGTTACTCTTTCAAAAACCTAATCCCTTCATATTCAGTAAATTTGAACAATTCTACATGTGTACTTGCAGTAAAAAAGTTTTTCAAATCACAAAATCCTCCTTCCATAATTTTTTTGAAAATCTGACAATCTATTTGACAAAAAGAAAAACAAAAATTTCAGGAATATCCTCAAATTTCGAAACACTGGAAATAAACACGTGACTTAAATAACTACATTTGGACAAGCCCAGCAGTTAACTTAACACATATGCATATCACAATCAAAGCAGCCCATGGGCGGAACAGACAAAGCATCAAACGACACTGCTAATCATACCCTTCCAACCATTCCAAAAAGACCCAACTTTGGTAAGACCCACAAACAGCTCAGTATCTCTAAGCAGTCTGATGTATTCTCAGATCAAGTCCATACCGGCTATAACTTCTTGGGTTCAGAATGGTTCGGGTTGTCTCCACTGGTTTATACCACACAGCAGCAACATAGCACTTCCACAGCAACATACTGGGCCCTATTACTTTCAAGTGATATTCAAACAATGATACTGCTTGCCAAATTATGTGGAAAACCATGTTGAGAATGGGTTATGAGCAAAGTGCACTTGTGTGGCATTTGGCTGGTACCCTGATTTGCCAAGGACAATAGTTTAGCAAAGGAAACATGTCTGCCTAACCCAGCTCCACAACAAGTGTCAACTCCAAGCCTTTTAGTTTATGCTAGACCAATGAATTACTCAGCTGTTCTTGACACGCACTGCTTGGACTTGATCTCAAGGCTAGGTACATTTGACCCTTCAGGCTCTGTTTTAACCACTCTGTTTCAAAGCCACCTACAAACAAACCAAGTCATGGCAACACATGAGCTAAATTGTTAGCCGACTTTTGCCAGAATGGATGTATTATATAGACCGTATTTGGGTCACACACGGTTTTATAACGATTAGTGATCCGTCATTGGTTTATGGACACCAAAACTCGCCTTATGGATGGTGCGAACCAGTGTAAGGATCACTGATTCGAATCCACATCCGTGTGACACAAACGGCCCCCAAGCCACACAAATGGGAAAACAGGTATGGCAACCTAACCAACTTCATACAAAACAAAGGAAAGGTAAACACTTTTGTTGGGCACCAGTCTCATCGTTAATTCTCCCTTTGGCTTTAACACACCCATAAAACAATGGATTTTTCTGTACCAGTTATCACTTCAACTTATCCATGAACATGATGAATTTAGCTGAGCCTTGTAACCCAGTTCCAGAGATTTTTATCTCAGATTTCTTCAGATTTCCTTCCTCAAAATCAAATCCACAACACACTTCCATAAAAAAGAATGCCTCTAGTTTCTGCATGCCTTATCTACACATCCTCTATACGCAGAACAACAATAAATAAAAAGCAAATCATTTACACAAAATTTTGAAATTAAAAAGAAATTTTTCTCTCCAGAGACATGACTTCCCAGATTTGCACCGAAATATATAACATTAGCATTACTTACTTGCTGTGTGAGCCAAGATGACCCGGTGTCTCAAAGATCACTTTGCTTTATTTGGCATTTGGCTGTCCCCACATATAAGAACCAACGTTCATCACCTTTAATCATCAACCATGAATTTTTTATCTTTCCTGAACTATCTACAGACATTCCATGGCTTCTCCTATGATCAGTCAAGAACATGTCAGCATCCTCTGCACTGAACAGTGATGGAAATCTTGTGGATTTTCTCAATCAACACAAAGATTATCATTACCATAAGAATTTCAAAATTCCTCATTTGCCAGTTATCGATGTGGGATATTTTGGGATTTCTTGCCTTAACCAGTCATTAAAATGCAACCCTTCAGGTTGTTCTATCATGGAAGCTGGATGGCTTTTCCAGGACAAAACACAGTAGTTTCTAATGACTTTTCCTTGATGTGTTGTGAATATTCCATGGTGACTTCCATATCTACAACAAATGCCACTGGAATTTCCCATGTTTCCACACATCAACAGGAAATTCAATGCTTCCAAAAAATCTGACTTTCGTAGTTTTCTGCATTGAATTATTTCTGCCTTTTTACTGATGCATTTTCACCCACAATTCCTGGAAACATTTCATGAATTTCAAGCAAACCAAGCCAGTGTCTACTATGAATTCTACACTCTACTTCCTAATTTTTTTTTCTTTTTTTCTTTTTGTTTTGATTAATTTGATATAAGTATATGTGTATATATATATTTTTTTACAATAGTTTAAACTGGATTAATAACAATATACACGAAAAATATCAACAATAGTAAATCTTGGAAGGAAGGGATCCCATTCAATGATAAATACTGTTTGTATACAGCTATATTACTTCTATGGGCAGGGAGCAAATTCAACTGTGCATGGAGATCTGTGGAAAATAAATTCTAAAAGCAATATTCCTGATCATTCTTGACAATAAATTAATGAAAAAACCTGGGACAGACAGAAATACAATTATTTAACTATGTTTGGTTAGTTTCTTTGATAGACAATAAAACTAGTAAAACAAATGAGAGCAAAACGTCAAAAGAAGCATTCTGGTTCAAGTTGGGCATAGAGATTCATATGCCTAGCTCTAACTGTCCTCAATCCTCCACCCATTGTAGGATTGAGACTGTTAACGCTTGAACACGGCATCCATGTCCACAGAACAATCAAATATGCAGTAACATTTCCTCACTATTACATCTGCCTCTTCGTTTACTTGTTAAAACCTTTCTTGTCATTGCAAATGCTCTTGAATCACCTGTTATGAGTAACTAGGCAAATTTGACATAACAAAGAAACCCTCGAATTTAAGTCCAAAAGAAAACCCAAGGCTTGCCCTTACTCGGACCTGTAAAGAAAACTGGCTTCATGATTAGAATATAATATAAACGCATGTAAATCCACAAAAAGATATTCCAAAAATTGACGGGGGTATTCTGCTCTCTGAGGCTTGCCTGGACTCATCCAATAATGAATGTTGCTGGTAATTTTATTTTGTGACAAGTGTATGCATGGCAGCCATCTGAAAGGGTCTGGTACCTAGAAATGCTGATTTATGGAGTGTGCTTCAATGAATATGGCTGGAAGTTACAGTTATCCATTTCCCTGAGAGGTGGGACTTGCACAAACTGTGACTGCTATAACAAACCTTAAGCTGGATATGTACAGCATTTTGCCACAGTGAGATTTCCTGTCAAGTGCCCCACCCTTCCATGCCATGCGTATAAAAAGTTATTTTGGCAGCTTTCTTGAAGGCAAGAAAAGTTAATATTTCTTTTGTACTGGCAAAAATATGCACTTTGTTTTCAAAAAGGTTGTTTCAGAATTTCCAAAGGAAAAGTGGAACCAGGAAGAGCTATGTTGTGTAACACATCCATTACTCCTTACAGCACAATTCTTACCCTTCAACAAATTTGGATAAATTTGTTTTGGTTTTGACTCAATCAGTCTAAGAAAAAAATAAAAAAGCCAATATTTTAGCAGTACCTTCAAAGTCAGACTGTGACATTTCCTTAACCGTAACAGTCCCAAATCCTCTAATTTCAATATGATTTTACATAAACCCTGGGGGGGGTAGGGTTTCATAAAACATTCTTTCCATACATACAACCAACAACTTGCACAGTCACTTTCTCCGTCTGGAAATCTAATGACACACTTAAAACCCCTCTGGAATATCAAGAGTGAATCTGACCCTCTGCAGAGTAACCAAAATTATAATATACACAGACAAAGGGGCCAACAAGTGAATAACTATAAGCAAATTGCTTAGCAATTTCGAGCAGACTGCTCAGCAAGTTTGGGTTGAGAAACACATCAAACACTCTATTCAGAAAAAGTAAATGTGCATACAAATTTCATGGAGCAGATAAATATACACACCAGAGCAGGGAAGATATCAGTGGGAAAAATAGGATTACCAGCCAAATCCTATCAGGATTATGTCACTTGATACTGGTTGCCTGCTAACAATTTACATGTATTTAGCAAGTGAACTTACTTCAGCTAAACAGTATTATTCTGCTTAGCGGTGTCCTGATGTAAAATGACCCACTCAATGAATTGTCTCTTTTGCCAGAGAGGGCCCTTTGTCTATACAATGCATAGGTTAGTTCTTGGTTAGTTCTCCAGTTGCAAAACTAATTTCCAGATTTTAGAAGTGGAGGCAAACTTATAACACCTAATAAATAAGTTACTCAAATTAAGGGTAGCTAGGGCAATCGGGATGATTCAAAAGGCCCATTTGAAACACTGAAAGGAGCATACCCTTCCTCCATACAGTATAAAAAATGCTCCCACATAAATACACTATGTTTAAAAACATAAAAAACTACCAGATGCAGAGTGCATGCTATAGCTCCATGTCTTGCGTTTCATCCTCAGAAAAATCGCTCATGGAGCTTTCACTGGATGACGACTGAGCATCTTGTTCCCGTAAAGCTTCCTCCGTTGCGTATTTCTGAACAAATTCTGCTCAGATAAAACATATCAGATTTTGTGCTGTAACAGAATAACAGTGACTAATCTGCAACAACACTTACACTACATGTGTACCTCTGCCTTTTGACATAATAACGAGGATGCAAAGCTCAACCCCTCAAATCCTCCACAATTTTCTCTGTAACAGGTTGCATTACTGGCACTCTATAAAAAACCAAGGCTTTACTATTCCTTCAACAATTCAACACTTCAATGCTAACTAAAATGCTATCGCCAGCCACAAACCTTTTTTGGAGCAAACAAGGATGTGACTTCAGTCATCTGCAACCTACCTCTCATTTCTCAGGAATAATCGGACATCAATTTAAGTCAAATCACAAGGATGATTGGGGAAGATTCAGAGGCAGAAGACTTAAAACTCTCTACATTTTACAATAAACCATCCAGAATCCTGCAATATCCTCCACTGTGCAAGACACTTCAGTCCTTAGTATCCGTTGGCGTTGAGTTTAATGTAGAGTTAATATGGGCTTTACCCTTCCTCAATCATGCACTTTCTAAAAGCTTCATTTTGGATTTTGTAGGATCTGGGAGAGTTTGAGTGAAGTTCAGAAGACAAGTTCATCTGCTCTAAATTTGGCCTCTATTCCCAATTCTTATAGAATTGCAACTCACCCCTGATTTTTTTCTTGTACTCCTCCGGTTTGTGCAAATACATGGCAGCAGCATCACCATTTAGCGGATCATTGGGGTTAGGATACGCCAATAATTGGGGAAGGAATGACTCAAAAATGTTGGATAAATCTGTTAGATGCACACAAAACAAAGAACAACAAACAGCAATGACAGTAGTGGATGGATAAACACCTGTCTCAATTCAGGATAATGGGACATATAAAGAAACACATGGGTTCAGCATTGGGCAGTTGTTTGATAAATTGGATTCAAACCAAGAAAGAACAACTACAGTTAAATTGGACTATTTACCTATAGATTATGTACAATAAAAATTGCAACCAGTGAATACAAATTTTGCACTGTCGAATGCAGGATTACTTATATCCCAGATTGGAGTGAAACCCCATGGATGCATAGTTTTATTCATGGACTGGACCATATTCTTGAGTGTATCATATACAGTAGTATGAATAAACGAAGCATTCAAATCAAGAATAAGCCCCCATCATGTTCTTTAGCCACAAATTGTATTGTATTACAAGTATTCTAGATAGACAAAAAGGATTGCAAAGGTTCTAGAGTGAAGATCACATCAATTACGGGAAGTAGGAATGAATGGTAGAGTAACTTTCATTACTGTTCAGTTCATGTCTGATCTCTTTCTGCATAACATTAAACTCACCAAATAACGGTGTCCATGTTTGATTGATGACATCTAGACAAACTGTTCCTGAGCTGTTGAAGAAGATGAAATGTGAAGAACAAATGTTTAAATGTCTGCTTTGTGGACACTGTTTAAAATTCAAGTACTTCAGATACAGTCTGTCAGTGTGACAATAATTAAATCCTGCACTATGGTTAAGATTACAATGGAAAGGAAAAGTTCAGAGATAACTGATCTAGCATGCAATAACAACTTTTGCAGTCATTTGTCCAACTATTGGAAGGCCACTTCACACTGTTAAAATTATTCAAGTGATAATATTATTTCGCCTAATAATTGAAAAACAATTTCCTGGTGTCTTTTTGGTGTTACATACTGTACATGTATAACCCAGGCAACACATGACAACTTACGCTTCATCTATGTTTGGATGGTAGATTTTGTTCAGAAAACCTGTGAATTAAAAAGAAATTTTGAATAATTAGAATTTATAAACATGTATCAGAAAGGAATATTTCAGCCACAATTATACTCAAGAATAAGGAGTGTGTACAAGTACTGGGTATTACCAGCCTCAACTAATGGTGAGTGAAGGGCTTTTTTTTACCTTTCACTGGTCCATATGCATTATTCCTTAGAGAATAAGTGGATGAGTACCAGGCATGCCTATCTACATGTACAGCTATGGCTTTGTCTAGATGTATTTACCTGTGGCAACATTATACACATGTCTATGGAAAATGGACATAGCTGTTAGTTAGTCAATGCACCCATACTCGTTCATGCATATTCTTACCAGCTGTGGCAGCAATATGTAATTTAGCCGGTACCCAGGCTCGTCATTGTGAAACAAGTCCCCAATCTGAAGAGTGTATACAGTACATGGTACAGATACATTGCCTTATTGAACAGTGGTGAATAAATTAATCTTTTTCTGCTTTAATTTGCTATTACTGGATTGATTAAAGAGAATGATTTTTTCAATGTCACCTGTGGTTCAAAGAAATATTAGCCATAGGAGACTGATCCACTAATGTAAGTCCAGCCCCAATTCTGACTAATGATAGTCACCAATCACAGCTGACTGAACGTTTTACTAGTGCAACATTCACATGCATGCAACAGAGTTGGAACATGCAGTGAGGCATTGCAAAGAAGTAGGAGGCCTTCCTGGATTGGACTATCCAGGGAGGACTGCCATCTTCAAAAAAATTCACTACTGCTGGTAACTACAAAAATATAAGAGCAAGTGAGGTAATGACTGTTTGTGGCAGCACCATGCAAGGATCTCTCTTTTATGAGTATGTGTGATTCTGAAAAGAACTGGAGGGTACTCAACGATTCGGACAGTATGCTGCGTCTGTCGCCAGGAAGAGATATCAAAGCTTACATGGTGGTACCGCAAACCTCTTTGCTTCACTATGAAATAGCTGATAACTCAAAGACAGTTGGATACCTTTCCTTACAACATGCAGAGATAATTACGACAGACAAGCGTTCTTACCAATTGAAGGAGATTTATATGGATATTTGTCAGGTACATCAACTCGTACTTTCCACACACCACCATCGTAGGGAGCTTCAAGAAAAAAGATAAACACACAATCAATTCATTCACACAAACACAAGTCACCCTACAATGTAAACAATTTGACCGTTTCTGTCTGAATTCGTTAATTTTTCAAAATTTCCTTCATCTTCCTCCCGAAATCTTCTTATTTTTTTCTTTAGAATACATTGCACTTTACCTGAGAAATTTCAAAACAAGTTTTTCAACATATTTTAAAACCATGTGAGATTTACAATATCATTTTACTAAAAAAAATATTTTGAGACTCAAGCTCCATCTGCTTTGTTATTTTCTAGAACTCTGTGTAAGAAACAAACAAAAAATGTTTCACAGACTTTTGTTACAACTTAACCACAGTGTCTGAAAACAGACAGGATATGTGTATCTCATGTAAAATGAATTCCAGGTTTCAACCAGTCACCACCACAAAAAGATTAGCTAGACATGTACACAACTGTAATAAAGGTTTAGTCATGTTTACACGTACCTGTGTACATTATAATCCAAGGTTTTCTGTTTAAATTTTCCCTTTGAAACTGAGCAACAAGGAGTAGTACTAAAGCCAAAGTCACAACGCTACGTTTCCAGCCAGCCTTCTTAAAATGCGCATCATGTGGCAAATTTCCAATTACAACTTCCCCCCCATCCCAAAGCAAAGTCTTTGGCTTAATGCAAATGTGACAAGGTTTGTGATCTTCCAAGCATAACGCCATAGTCACCTTATAGTCCCTGATGAACATGCATGCTCAAGGGCCCAAAATCCTAATTGAATTGTGTAAAACAAGGAAGCTACATGTACATGTACCGATACCCGTATTGCAGGAAATATTCATGGCAGACTAGCATGCCCAATATATGGGTGCACCCTGGTAAATACAGGCACAAAAGCCGTCCACCGAGCTCATTCATAAAAGTTATACACTCAAAATATTCTATATAAGAGGGTTCTGAGAGCCACTGAATTGGGGAATTGAAGAAATATGGCACTGAACCTCTGGCCCGAACTGGGGCTTCCAATTCTGAGCAATTTGGATGCAGTCAGTTCCGAAAGTGGCACAATTTAGCCATTTTGCAGAGGAATACATTTTCAAATGGCTACTATTTTGGGCAGTGAAATTTCCTTTGTTTTAGGGGTGGTCTGCTTTGGGTGAGAATTTCTACAAAATTCATCAGACAACCCACTAAAAGTTGAAAGGAAAATGAAAAAGGGCATGTTGAACATTGTTTTTCTGTGCAGCCTGAGTACCTGCGGGAGTTGTATTTTTTAATACTGTATTTGTGAAATATGAAGCATCTGTGGGAATTTATTTGCTGTGGTGCACCCATTATTTACAGTACATGGATCACACCACATATACATGCATTTGTAACAAGTTCCCTCAATAATCAGTTTACTCTAATGACAATGTATTGTTCTTTTTTTCACTGTACTTTCCAAATTTACACTAACATGATCTTGCCCTCTGTATATAACATCTTTTAAAACTAACTACATGTAAACTATGTAAGGTTTGGATGCACAAGAAGGTCTAAGCACTTATTTTTCTTAAAAGAATCCCAATTTCAAAGAAGAAAGATTTCAGACCACAAACTCTACATCAAAGTTGACTGTGGTTAATTTAACTTCACAAAAGCCTAATCATAGTTCCTGCAATGATATTCAAAAAGGACAGTGTCAGTTCTCACTCGTGAGTTAAGTCAGACCACTTCCTTTTCAAATGTAAAATGAGGTCAGAAAAGAAGTCAAGGTCATCAATATCAACTGAATAGACCCCAGGGCAAATGTTAAACAATGGTTTGGTATGATAATTTCTGGATGGGCAAATTTACAGTATGACAAAACAAGTTTACACTGTGAAATGACACTAAATACACAATGAAAACAGCACAGGCATGTCATGTCAATTCCTCACACATATTTAAAGTGCTACAGTTATTTGACTTAATCATTTTATTAACCCTGACAGTCCCAAATCCTCCAATTTCAACACAATTTTACATACACCGTTGGGGGTTAAGGTTAAAGTGTGCATGGCTGTACATACAAGTTTACTCTTATGAAGGCATCAAGCATGCAATACAGGCCACAGTGTTAATAATGACATGCCTGCAAGCAAAAAAGGGTTCCAACTTCCAAAGCAATTTATATTTATCGTGCCGGTATTTTCCTCTTGGAAAAGTAGACAAGCAGGACCAAATGGCAAAATATTGATGAAATATGACATTTACAAATGTTACATGTATACTGCTAGTGGATTGTGGTGATGGCGAATATGTTGTATCAATTGCATAAAAGAATGACTATTGAGTCAGCTTGGCCAGGGAAAATTGTATTGCTTGCTGACAAAACAGAGCCACCAACTGGAATATTGCCAAATGAACTTGTCATCACAAACCCCAGGGGCAATTTACAAGGTAACAAATTTGTTTACAGAAAATTTTTTCCAGTGAGCTTTGAAGCTACCTTGTGTGTGAGTAGTTTCTTATTCTGTTTGCTCCCAGGAGAATTTTTACATGCAATACAGGTGTTTCACAATAGTGCACCTCCATAAGTTTGCGACGAATTGGCCAGTCACAATGCGCAAAATCTGTCGACCCAGTGCATGTTAGAAAGGGTTGACAGATTTCGCGCATTGTAATTGGCCAATGCATAGACAACTCTTGAAGGCGCACAATTGTGAATCGCCCATATTGTAGGTGATTTTTTTTTAAAGTTTATTCAGAAGTACTAAAGAGGCTGTATGGAAATCTACCTTAATTAAAAGAATAAAACATGGCAGTCATGCAGGAATAAAAGTGAAGTAAATCATCAAAACAGATGCTAATGTGCCAATCCATAAAACTGGTAGTAGTGGACAACTCATTAGTGATGGATTTGGGATATGAAATAAGTGCTATCTTCCAGGAGGGAAAAATCTAACTTGTTTGTCATAATTATCTCAGAACCTTTCATTCTCTTTGACAAGTTCCCAAGTATTTTGTAAAGTGGGTTTAACTGGAACCGGTCCCTGACATGAATGGCTAGTTACCCTGTACCAATGCACAGCTCTACCAAAACAAAATGATCCTGGGCCCCTCCCCCCAAAAAGAACTGCTTTCTGACTCAACTTCTACGGCAGATATGAAAAATTTGTGAGAGTTCATGAGTGTGTCAGGAGTATGTCAAATGAGAACAGGGTAAATAAATTTATTGGCAAAAATGTCCAAATCATTGCTCACAATACTCAATACATTCATGTGTACAAATCAACAAAACTCCATAATTTCCTGGGATACTGTACTGGAGAAGATGTACAGACATTTCAATTATTTTGAAGCTATTAAGCAAGTATTCTATTGGGTATGCATCAGAAACAGCCTGTAGAGTCCATCCCATCCTAAACAATTACAAATTTCTAAAATTCAATCAGCTCCTCTACTGAAGAGAGAGACAGAGAGAAGCCTACACACGTGAACAACATCATTTTTATCCAAACCCAATACAGTGGAACATCGCTATGCCGAACACTGGTATACTGAACATCGTCCAGTATGGAACATCGTCCTTGGCTCCCAATATTTTGTGTACAAAACCTATCAAACATTATGTAGTTACAAATCAACCGAGATTTGCCACAGCATGCATCAGAGATCAATCCTGAGTGGTAGTTTCACGACTTTTAGGATAAATTAAATATCAATTTTGTAACTCAAGATTTCATGAAAAAAACAAAAATAATTAACAGATACATTTCTAGAAACCTCAAACGTGAATGCAACGACAAAAGATCAGGAAAACAGTGAATAATAGTATCACAAGAGGGTGCACTTCAGTTAGAAAAGAGAGGGTATTAATCAACATGGCAACGAAACATTCGGCAGTTAATTTCGCTATAACAAACGACGGCTGTACTCAACATTTAGCATGGACCCCGTCGTGTTCATTATAGTAGCGTTCCACTGTACCCACAACCTGCCTTCAGTTTGACCTTCTTCACAGCGCTTTAGCCAGCTTATAATTTCAAGCCACTGACGAGAGAGTGCCACAAGCATGATGGCCATGTTTATCTTGTAATTACACTGGCTCATTAATATCATACTCACTTCCTTTTGGACCGTAGAATTTCACCATCAACTCGTTGATCCCCTTCAATACCGTAACTTCGTGTTTGCTTTCAATTCTAAGAGGGAGAAGATGCAGTTAAGGAAATCACTTAAAGAAGAAATAGATAGACCCAGCAGCTCATCCTACACTCTCAACGATGATTACCACAGATAACAGACCTCCTGGGCCAGACAATTAAAAACCACATTTGTACAGCACCTGATGAAGTAACTCATGTAAAGGTAACATTTTGCAAACAAACGTTTGCTTGTCAACATACGGTTCATGTAAGCCTACCATTGCTGGGAATGTACATGTAGCATGCGCCCTTTTTGCTCAAATGAATCATTCCCAACATTTCAAGTTTTTCAATTTGCATCATTTTAATTTCATGGCTTTCACTCATCATCTTGATGACTAGACATTTACAAGTGTACATGTACATGTATGCTGGTGAACATCTCAACAGCCTTATTTGGATGTTCTTCATACATTACGGCTAAATCTGATAAGAAACGCTTGGCAAAGGATGGTAACACATTTCCAAATTCTCCAATCTGAAATACATGTATATGGTGCAAGTCACACAATGTGACAACGAAACATAAATTGATGATTTCTAAAATGGCTACAATTTCATGCAGTTTAGAAATGGATTAAACAACACACAAAAACCTACACAGAAAAAAGACAGAAATTAAATACCGACCGGTATACATATCATCTGTTCACCACATAAACTCAGGAACACAGCCAGATTAGGCATGAATAAATGTTTTCACAAGAACAGACAATTTTGATTAGTACTACACTAAGGGCAAACACAACATGTCAATTACCATATGGCACTGGTTGGCTCAACATGAACACGCCGTACAGTACATGTACATGTGCATGCATTTGGACATAATTTGAAACCTCTCATATACCAAATGTAATTAAAGTCTCCGTCCGATAATTAAAACATTTCCAATGATATGTAGCATACATGTAACAGTGATGTACAATTAAAAAGCTTCCAGGTCAATTATGCCCTGATGCCTGGAAAATTATATGTACTGAAAGTGCCGAACAAATGCTATTAACTTGACGGTACAGGTGCATGCACAGTTAAGCACAATAGCTTAGTCAAAGTATCCAGAGTATATTTACCATTCACATTTTAGAATGGATACAGTTTATTGAAGGTTGAAAGATGAGCACTATATTATCCCTGACCTTATATCTTTCAACTTATCCACCTGTCTCAGGTTTGTACAATGTTCACAAATCCCTCCGAAGTAATGACCTACATGTACATGTACTGACATAAAGTGCTATGAGTACCATATGAGAATAGTCAAACCATGGAGCTGTTTACATATGAAACTCTGCAGTAAATCACCACTTATTTTATAACTAAACAGCATGATGTGTGATTGCTAAAACTGGTAACAGCTTCCAGCTACAGGGTTGGTACAGGAAAATATATGCAGGTAGATTTGGCAGTACGACGAATACTGGGTAATTCTTACATACCATGTACAGTACATCTAAGAATGTATGCATTGTAGCAACAAATGCACAACTTCCCGGAAGTGAAGTACAGGTACAGCGTACGTCTGAGTAAAATTAAACATTTCTGTAATTACTTACCGACTCACAAATGTTTCAACAGATATCATTTCTCAATTTCCATCAGTTAAAAGTATTGCCCAAAGATCTTGGTCAGTAATGTTAGTTTGTCCATCTATCTTTGGCAAACCTTAAAACATAAAAGGGTAACAATTAAAAAAAAGGGTTCTTTAAGCACAAAATATGACCCTTTGTCATTGACTTCATGACATACATGTAACATGTGGTGCCAAAATGAGTACCAAATATCCATGACTTTAGCTGCACTACAGTTTAATGAAAAAAAAAACACTTAAACTGAATTCCATCTCATTAGCTCACCACTCAGGTGAAGGATCTCTGTGGTCTTGTTCATTTTGATACATAAATGTGCCATATTTGTGGTTGTGATGCTTGTACCTGTAGTTTTGAAGATACTTTGTATAATGTTTGTTAAATTTCCACTTCTTTATGGACTTAATTGCTCTACTGCACTTTTGCTAAATTTCTGAGCACATTTGGTCGGCATCCAATTTGCCAATTATGTGTGAGGCAAGAATTTGGCACATAACATGGCTCTTCTTATTAATGTCAAACAGTGATCTACATGTAGGTGTACCACTTGATGATACAAAGACTCCATTAATCTAACCATGACACATTCACCTAAGACAGTTGTTGAAGGAGGATAAATGAGTGTATGTGGAATATTCTACTGTTTCCGTCCTTTCTGAAAGGATAATTCTGACAACAAACAAGCTGACTTGCAATTATGTAGCCACGCCTCCTAGAATATCCCCTAGGAGTTGGTGTGCAGCAGTCATGTTTGCCTGCATATTTGATTAGAGTTAACTGATTGGGCATTGTTTCTGTAGTCATACTGTATGTACATGTAATTCCATTCTCAGACAATCTCCATATGACAGCCATTTCCATGGCGGACATTCACACCGTACGTGTAAACGTACCATTGGTGTTGATAACAGCTGAGCATACCTTGGCCGTATCTATTTTATGGCCTAAACTATTGAAAGCTTGTTAATATTGGGACTATTTTCTTTGTCACAATCCTACTTGTATTTATGCCACTTTTAATTCTGTGGCATTAACTTAAGCTAGAAATATATTTTCTACTCATTTTATGCTTGTGGTATCTGGGTCAGAGTAAAACTCAAGTGTATAATTTGTCAGGTTTTATAATCAGTCTCTCCAATTATGAAGTCTAACCAGAGTATGAGCACGAGCAATGAGTAAACGGTGGGATGAAAAAAGTTCCAAATTTGTTCAAAGATTTTCCAAAATGTTTAAGCAGAATTGCCCCCTTTTAGAGGTTTGACATTTTGATTGACGCAATCTGGCGTCCATTTTTATTGTAAATGATGCCTGTAGAATGTAATCTGATTTTGGAACACTTCCCTTTCGGCACCTTTGTACTTTCTGAGAAAAAAGTGGTTTCTAAAAAAATCAAAATTGCTGTTTTAAATGCCCCAACATCAATCTACATTTTTACATTAGCTGAACCAGATGAATTTTGAACTATATAAATTACACATGTATGAAAACACAGAGGTAGGCGGCGGTGGGCTCTGTAATGGGTTGGCTAAATGTTTAAATGATATGGGAAAGTTTTCTAAACGTTGTTCAAATGAAATGTAATTTCCTACCCTTACAGTTAGTACAGGCTGTGGGCTACTCAAGAGGAGCCTATCAATTACATCGTAATTCTGTCAATGAGCCTCTTTTGGTCAATTTGGGACATATTTTATAAAGAAAATACGATGTCACTAAATAAACAAGCACAAAAGCACGTGGCACTTTTACATCTGCACATAAAATGGTTCAAATCTCACTGCTAAATTCCCTATCAAATGAACAAAAAATACCCTACACAAAAAATTCTGTGCAGAGTTGATCAAAAACAACAACCCGGTACTTCTATTAATTGACGTGCTCCTAGTTTATGACTTTTATGATAAGAGATGCTGGTTTCTGTACACTGGGTGTATAGAGTGTCATTCTGCATGCCTAAGATGCTAGGTATCACCTAGGTATCATCGAGGGCAGTCTATGATTACACACTCGATATACACTGTACAAGTTCAGCCAAGCCTACAAGTACACATGTACATGTACCACAGGTCTGTATGAGTATACTGCTTGTACATGGACATGTATCAATCAATACTTGATCCTCTCCCTCGATGCTTTCACACAGCAATGCACTGCTGCTATCATATTGCACACCAGTGATGACGTCTGCACGTTTATTTCCTCTTTTCAAAAGTATCCAGCTTCTGACAATAAAAATCAAATTTCAAATTCTTGGACGAGATAATTCTGAAAAGGTTGTTGGGATTATAACGAGTCCCTTGGTTTGTATCTTTGCAGCTCTGATTGATGCTTGTGATAAGATGCCATATACATGCATGTATACATGTAGCATTTGTACTGATTGTTGAATACGCAGGTGGATTCACAATAGCGTGCCTCTAAGAGTTTGCAACGCGATGGCTGATCACAACGCACCAAATCTGTCGACCCTTTCCAAACGCACACTGGGTCAACAGATTTCGCACATTGAGATTGGCCAACGCACTGCAAACTCTTGGAGGCACTTATTGTGAAACACTGATATTGAGAAGCTTACGTACATAATTGCACCATGACAGCACAAACGAGATGGATCCAGGTTGATAGCACACCATACATGTACTTAAATGCATAATACAAAAGATGTACACGTATATGTCCCTATAGGGTATGGTCATGCCACTCGTTAAATCCACTTTTCATTGCGTATTTTGATCACATCTCTTCCGTTATTGCATGAAGTGTATACCATACAAAATTGATGGGTTATAAATCAGCGAAGGCACACCATTCACATCATTACCACGGATGTAGTCATGATGTCAAATTCACATACGTGTAACATCGGTGTGGAATATGCCAAATCGAAAAACTTCAATCTGTTTGTAAAAATGCAAGCAACATTAATACCTTATCAAAGATACGGATGCCCAAGAAGTAAAAGACATTCATTTAACACGAAAACCAAATCCCTGAGCAATTCCCCCAGAAAAATTCCATCATGCACTTCATAAAAATATTCTAGATGAAAGGCATCAGACTGAAGTTACAGTTAATGTCATGTAGTTGAGACCTGCCTTGACAAATGCCCCTGAAGACACTCATGGTTTAATAACGATGATAAATGAATCAATGTATCTTGGATTTGACAGCTGATCTCTTGGAAACATAGAACGGTGAATACTAGCCTTCATTTTTCACATGTGCACATGACCCAAGAAGTCACCAAAAAGCTTGAATACAGTTGCCAAAACCAATGGTCACAGCAGGTACAATGTACTTGTACATGTAACTGATATAATGCTACATATAATTGTATTTTCCCCTACTTTATGAGAGCTACATGTACAACATGTTTAACTGTTAATAACTAATGCACCCAGGTGAGACTGA